GTTTCTTCTGAGAGCTTCCCTTAAAACCAGGCGTCGGGTTAGGCGAGGAGACTGGGAGCTGCGTTGCACTCTGCTTGGAATTGACCTCCCGTCGGCAGCAGTGAGCAAAGGACCGCGCGGATGCGGCGAACCGCCCAAAGGAGGAAGTCCGGCCCTCTCTGTGAAGAGTCTTCTGGCTCCGCCTCTCTCCGCCAGCGGCCAATCAGGATCCGGCTGACCGGACCGGCAGTGCTCCGTGGGGACAGAGTCGGAGTACCGTTAATCCACCACAAGGCGGTATCTACTTATTCATTCGATTCCTTTCCCTACAAGGGCTTAACTGTTTTTCCTCTTGCAAACACCTGGGTGGTCCTACAACTATTTTGGAAAAAGATCTGGCAGTTTCATATAAAAGTAAACACGCACCTACCCTATGATTTCTCACCTAGCCATTAACCCAAAAGAAATTAAAGCGTAAATCCACAAAAAGTGAACTTTCTATCAACAGGAAGATGGATAAACCGTATCTATACAATGGAATACCACTCAGCAATAAAATGGAACTCACTACTGATACACGCAACAGCATGAATGAATCTCAAAATTACTATGCTGACTGAAAGAAGCCCTCCACGCAAGAAGATACACGCAATATAACGTATGGTTCCGTCTACAAGAAGTTCTAAAACAAGCTACACTAATCTATGGTGAAAACAAAATCGGAACAAGGGTTGCCTGGGAATTGAGGGCGGGGAATGACCAGGAAGGGGCATGAGGGAACTTTCTAGGTGACGATGATGTTCTTATTGCTGCCCAACAGAACTTTCTGCAAAGATGTAAATGTCTTACATGTGTGTTGTCCACTATGGTAGCTATTGTGGTATATTGATCACTTAAAATGTGGCTAGTGCGACCAAAAACGGAATATTTGATTTTATTTAATTTTAATTAATTTAAATTTAGTATTAAACAGGCATATGTGGCTAAAAAAAACAAATGCATTGCTGACGAGTCGATTCCGACTCTAGTGGCTACCATATTGGATAGCACAGTTCTATATCTTGACAGGGGTTTGGGTTACACAGGTGTATGTATTTATCAAAACTCCTCTAATGACACGCTAAGATCTGTGCATCTCACTGTGTGTAAATTTTTTACTTTAAAAAGGTAAACAAACGTTGAAGTCTAATTAATGGAATGCGTGCTGAAGTGTTTAGAAGTGAAATATACTGATGTCTGCAACTCTCAAATGCATAATAAAAAGATGATGGACCTAGGGATGAATAGATGGCTAAACCAAAACCCGTTGCTGTCGAGTCGATTCTGACTCACAGCAATCCTATAGGACAGTGTAGAACTGCCCCTAGGGTTCCCTAGGCTGTAATCTTTGCAGAAGCACACTGCCACATCTTTCTCTAGAGGTAGGTTTGAACCACTTGCCTTTCAGTTAGCAGCAGAGGCTTAGCCACTGCACTGCCAGGGCTCCTTTGGATAGATAGACGGACAGGGGATAAAGCAAATATAGCAAAAATACTAGTTGTAGGATCTAGGTGGTGGGTTTATGTAAAAAAGTCTTTCAATCTTTCTGTATATGTTTGAATATTTTCATAATAAAATGTTGGGGGGGGGAATCCCATGTGGAAGTTCCTGTGCCCTCCCTAGAAGCAGCCTGGGATGAAGGGAGCAGGCTGTTTTGAGTGTCCTAGGCCCCTTTTGAAGAAGCCCTGCTGGGACAATGGTTAAGCACTCAGCTGCTAACTGGAAGTTTGTCGGTTTGAACCCACCCAGCTGCTCCGCAGGAGAAAAGACCTAGTGATCTGCTCCCATAAAGATTACAGCCTAGAAAATACTATGGGGCAGTTCTACACTGTCCTATAGGGTTGCTATGAGTCGGAATCGACTTGACGGCAAACAACAGTCCCCTTTTATGCAGAGGGTAGTGGGAAGATAGAAAACGCCCTTTGGAAACAGGCTTGGTTCATAATCCCCACTCTTTTACTTTCCAGCTGTATGACTGTATTAGTTTCCTATTGCTACTGTAACAAATTGCCACATATTTAGTGGCTTAAAACAGCACAATTTTATTTTCTGACAGTTCTGGAAGTCAGAAGTCTAAAATGGGTGGTCAGGGCTGTGTTCCTTCTGGATGTTCTAAGGGAGAATCCGTTTCTTTGCCTTTTCCAGGTTCTAGGGACCTCCTGTAGGAACCCTGGTGGCCCAGTGTTTAAGAGCTCGGCTGCTAACCAAAAGGTCGACAGTTCCATCCGCCAGCCACTCCTTGGAAACCCTATGGGGCAGTTCTACTCTGTCCTATAGAGTTCCTATAAGTTGGAATCGGCTCAATGGCAGTGGGTTTAGGAACCTCCTATATTCCTTGGCTCATGGTCCCTTCCTCCATCTTCAAAATCAGCAGCATAGCGTCTTCAAATCTCTTTCTCTGACTTCTGCCTCCTTATTCACATCTCCTTCCCTGACTTGTCTGTTTTGTTGATTTCCTTCTAAGGACCCTTGTGATTACGTTGGGCCCGCCCAGATAATCCAGGACAATCTCCCTTCTCAAGATCCTTAATTTAATCACATCTGCAAAGTCCCTTTTTGCCATGGAAGGTAACGTATTCACAAATTCTGGGGATTAGAACATGGACATCTTTGGGGGGCATCATTCTGCCTACTACAGTGACTTTGAGAATTTTCCGTAGTCTATTTGTTTACTCATTGGTAATGACCTATATGACACTAGGTCAAGAAAACACTGAACAGGAAAAAGATTTCTCATGATTTTTTTTTGGTAATAGTTTTACTGAGATACAATTCACATACCAGACAATTCACTCAATAAAAGTGTACAATTCAGTGGTGTTTAGTACAGTCACAAGTGTGCAACCATCAGCACTGTTTTAGGACAGCTTCATCTTTCTCCCATTTTTTACATGAGGAAGCATCACTTGAGACGTTCAGGAAACTTGCTTAGGGTAACATCTAATCGACAGGGCTGAGACAATTCGTTGGGTATCAGGAGCCGGATTCTAGTCCTAGTTTTGCCCCACTCCCTTCATGAAGTTAGGCTAGTCACCTGGAGCAGTGTGATGGAGAGGTTAAGGCAGCAAGCTTTTAGGTTAGATCTGGGTTCAAGGCATAGTTTTGCAAACTAAAAACTATGTGACCTTCGGCAAAACTTCGCGGCGCCTAGGTTTCCTCCTTTGAAAAATAAGGGTCATTCAATCCATGGTAGCTATCATTATCTGTAAAATGAGTGACTAGACTCACCTCGAAGATCCCTTCTAGTATGTAATTCCAAGCTTCAATGAGGGAAAAAAGATAATTAAAAACAAACTCCCCAAGCATCCGGTGCAACAGGAGAGATAAGAATTCCCTGAAGATCGGGGCTCACACACTTCCTTCTGGGCACCGGGCATCTCAGCCAGTGTGAAAGACAAATGCGTAAAATGACCCATACAAAGCACGGCAGGGTGGAAAGAGTTGGGAAGGCCAACAGTGGTCCTCAGAGCAGAAACAGGGGTGGGATAGACCCGAGGCAGCTCTTCCCGATGGCCAAGTCTCGGGGCTGCGTGGGAACTGGAGGAGACAGGCCAGAGCCCTGGGTGGGGATGGGGGAGTGTTGGAAGGATAGTTCTGAAAATAAATCTCCAGAGCCGCGTTGGAGCACGAGACAGGACCAGATAGGGGGCCCAGCCCCAGCCCCGCCCACTCGCTCGCTACACTTAGTACGCTCCGGCCACAGCGATCAACCGTCTCCCTCCTGCGTGCGATTGGTACAGCCCGAGCTGCGAGAGTTAGAACCCAAGGAAAGGCACGCCTATCGACACGCCCCTGCCTCTGATTGGCTGAAGGAAGTAAAGCTCCGTCCGGTGATAGGGTCATGTACTAGCCAGGGTATTTGAAAGTTCCTAGTTCCCGAGTTTAGCAGTCCCCAGCCGGCCGGCTCCAGTCAGTTCGTTCATCTGAGTGCGGGAGCGAGAGTGAGTGTCGGCCTGAGCCCCGAGGTGGGAGGCGGAGAGCTTGACTTCTTCAAGGGGTTAGAATCCCTGCCGGGAGGGTGCGGATGAGTGGGTCAGAGGGCAGGAGCACCCATACCCACCGGGAGGTTGGAAGGGCCTAGAAGCCGTTGTGGCTTAAGAAGGGCAAGCATTAGTTTCCACTTATACACACAGGGAAGGGTGAGACCAGATAAACCAGGGCACGTATCTGGAAGACCTCTCCCCAAAAAAACCCAAAGCCGTTGCCATGGAGTCGATTCCGACTCAACAACTCATAGCGACCCTATAGAACAGAAAAGGGTTTCCAAGGAGCAGCTGGTGGATTCGAACTGCCGACCTTTCCGTTAGCAGCCTGAGCTCTTAACCACTTCGCCACCAGAGCTCCATCTGGAAGACAAAAGGCGCTTATTACATGTCAGCCCCCTCCCCATATCCCCACGTGCGAGTCCCCTGCTTCCTCGGGGGAGGACCCTGAAGATTCCCGTGCCCGCCCTGGATCTCTTGAAAGTAGTCTGCTTCTCCGCGCAGGCGTCTACTCCTTTCGTGGCCTTTGCGTTCCTTCGGAACAGCCCGAGTCTCCCCAATCCTGGGGGCATGCGACACAGTCCATCCGCCGCTCCGGAATTTGTTGTGTCAGACCACACCGTACCCACAGGCGTAGAGTCGATTCCGACTCATAGCGACCCTATAGGGCAGAGTAGAACTGCCCCCATAGGGTTTCCAAGGCTATAAATCTTTACGGAAGCAGACTGCCACATCTTTCTCCCGCAGAGCGGCTGGTGGGTTCGAACCGCCGACCTTTCAGTTAGCAGCCGAGAGCTTTAACCACTGCGCAATCAGGGCTCCATAGGGGAGTACATTTCTAAGAGTTAATTTTCGGTTGGCCACAGCGCCCTTTTACCGGTGACAGTCTCCGAAACCCCACGTGTCTTCAACCAGGTCCCCTGTCACTGCCTCTATACCACCCAAAACGTCTCCTGAGGCCACCGGGACCCCTGCGTTCCGGTCCCTTCGCAGACCTGCGGCGGCGGCGGCGGCGGCGATGCTGTCGGGCACCGAGACGGCGGCAGCAGAGTGCGAGGATGCGGAGCTGCGGTGCCGCGTGGCCGTGGAGGAGCTGAGCCCCGGCGGGCAGCCGCGAAAGCGTCAGTCCCTGCGCACCGCGGAGCTGAGCCTGGGTCGCAACGAGCGCCGGGAGCTGATGCTGCGGCTGCAGGCGCCGGGGCCCGCGGGGCGACCGCGCTGCTTCCCACTGCGCGCAGCGCGCCTCTTCACGCGCTTCGCCGCCGCCGGGCGCAGCGCGCTACGTCTCCCTGCCGACGGCGCTCCCCGGCCGGGCGCCGGCGCCGTGCAGCTGCTGCTCTCCGACTGCCCCCCAGACCGCCTGCGCCGCTTCCTACGCACGCTGCGGCTCAAGCTGGCAGCGGCCCCAGGGCCCGGGCCCGTTTCCGCCCGCGCGCGGCTGCTCGGCCCGCGGCCCCGAGACTTCGTCACCATCAGCCCCTTGCAGCCCGAGGAGTTACGGCGCGCGGCGGCCACCCGGGCGCTGGACACCACGCGGATGAAGTTGCCCGAGAAGCCCCAGACTGGGGCCGGGCACAGCAAGGTGAGGACAGGAAAGGGGGGTGCCTTTGGGAGTGAGGCCCAAGTTTGGGGGGAAGAAGATGGTGGTGGTATTTGATGAGGCTGCTGGTTTTCTCAGAGGAGATGCCCACCCCACATCTGAGTATGACAGGGATGAGGGAATTGTGCGTGTGTTTCTCATCATGGGATCCCTGAGACTGGGTAAAACAGAGCAGGAGAAGGGAGGCCAGGCCTGAGCCTTGGGGACCACCCACATGCGAAGAGAAAGCAGAGAAGGTCTGGGAAGGAAAAGGAGAGTGTAGCAGCCCAGGAGAGGAGAGGAGCTTCTGGACAGAGGGAAGTGATCAGCAGTGTCGGGGCCGCCAAGAGGTCCAGTAAGATGAAGTGGACGAAGAGTCTGGTGGGCTTGACAGTGTTTGCGGACATGGGCGGGTGTATCACAGACATGGGGGTTTGAGATCAAGCAGGGGAGAAGATGGAGATGGGGCAAGAAAGGTTCCTCGCTAGGGAGGGTTTTGCTCAGGTGTCTTGAGGTGAGAGGGACAGGTTTGTGACAGGAAGGTAAGTGAGAAGGGAAGCTGGGTGAGAAGACAAGGGTTAGGGAACCCCGGGGAAGGAGCTGGAGGAGGGTCCAGACCCACACTGCGGGGGGGGGGGCGGCGCTCAGGGCAGCAGAGGTCAGTGGAGACCCAGCCTTGGTTCCTTCCTCAAAGAGAGGCCTGGACCCCAGTAGTGGCTGCCAAGATCTCCAGGTGAACCGGGCTGAGTCACATCCCTGTCCCTCTCTGCCCAAGTGTTCCAAGGAGTGAGGCCAGCAAAGAGACAAAGGGCTGCCCGGCCAAGAAGGGGGGGGGGGGGCGACAATCTCTAGGGATGGGGGACCTGAGATAGCCCTTCCCCCTAGGAAGCCCCAAGGTGGCCCCTGCCTGTGAAGAGGCTGAACTTGCCCCCCAGCAAGCCCCAGCTTTCTGAGGAACAGGCCGCTGTGCTGAGCGTGGTGCTGAAAGGCCAGAGCGTTTTCTTCACTGGGAGTGCAGGTAGTAGGGACAGAGCAGGGTGGGGGGCAGGGGAGATGGAAGGGCAGATGGCTCTGACATTGTCCCCTGCCCAGGGACAGGGAAGTCCTACCTGCTGAAGCGTATCCTGGGCTCACTGCCCCCCACAGGCACTGTGGCCACCGCTAGCACTGGGGTGGCAGCCTGTCACATTGGGGGCACCACCCTCCACGCCTTTGCAGGTAAGTGGGAGCCTCTGGGGCTTAAGCTAGGAGCAAGCCAGGCCTGTGAGGAGGGGAGGGAAGGGGAGTTGGAATTGAGAGGGGGCTGGGGTCTCAGCCCAGGCTGAATAGTGTCACTCACAGGCATCGGCTCCGGCCGGGCCCCCCTGGCCCAATGTGTGGCCCTGGCCCAGCGGCCAGGCGTGCGGCAGGGCTGGCTGAGCTGCCAGCGGCTGGTCATTGATGAGATCTCCATGGTGGAAGCGGACCTATTTGACAAGCTGGAAGCTGTGGCCAGGTCAGTATCTGCAGTGTGGGCAGCAAGTAAGGTCTGGAGTCTGGTGGTCTTGGCATGTGAAAGCTGCCCACCCTAGCCCCTAAAAAACACCATGCTCTTCCCCAGAGCTGTCCGGCAGCAGGACAAGCCCTTTGGAGGGATCCAGCTCATCATCTGTGGGGACTTCCTACAACTGCCACCTGTGACCAAGGGCTCCCAGCCCCCGCAGTTCTGTTTCCAGGTACCCCTCACCTTCTGGCCTCACCCCCCACGCCCGTGGAGATCTACTCTGCTCCTTAACCCACCCCACCCCACCCCACCAGGCCAAGAGCTGGAGGAGATGCATTCCAGTGACCCTGGAGCTGACTGAGGTGTGGAGGCAGGCGGACCAGGCCTTCATCTCTTTGCTGCAGGCTGTGAGGCTGGGCAGGTGGGCCCTGGTGGAAAGGAAGGGAGCACGAGATGAGACTCCAAGCACAGGTCAGAGCAGAGCCCTGGGAAGGGGAGAAATGCTTGTTCTTGGAGCACAGTCTGTACAGGCAGAGGAGCCTCTAGCAGGACAAGGGAAGGATGGACAGACAGACACAGGAGAAATTCAGATGTTAATACCCCCATTTTACAGATGCAGAAACTGGGGTTCAAAGAGGTGAAGTGACCTGACCAAAGTCACAGGTAGAAAGTGGCCGAGTTGGGCTTTGAAGCCAAGTCTGTCTTGACTCCAAAACCCAAGCTCCTCTACTCTTAGAGTCTAGGGGGCCGCTTGGTGGGAGTGGGCAGCGCTGTAGACATAGTGCCTCCCCAGCCAGGACTGCAGGCTGGAAGGCCATGGCTACTGTAACGTGCGGATGGAAAGGAGGCACGGAAGGTGGAAGAAACGGGGCCAGAGCCGGGCCATGAAGAGACAGGCCTGACTGGGCAGGGGACAGTGAGGGGCTGAGGGGCCATCTCTGCCTGGCCTGCTGAAGCAGATGCAGGAGACAGGTAGGAAGGGTCATGGCGCACATGGGGGACGAGAGGAAGGCTCAGTGGCAGAGCAGGTAGAGATGGTCCCCAAGCTGTCCCCCTCCTCCCACTTGAGCTGCTGCTGTGTCCAGGATTGAGACTGGGGAAAATGGAGACACAGGCTGGATTTTTCCCAAGGCAGCCAGCAGGGGCAGAGGAGTACGCCCTGGAGGCTAATCTGATTGCCGGCTTCCTTGTCTAGGTCCTCCAAACCTCTGGCCTATGCTCCCTCACCACCTTCCTCAGAAGCATTGTGGGGTGGGAGGGTGGTTAGGTCCTGCCTGCCCACCCACCATCACAGCCCAGCACTCTGCTCCCCCGTGCTCATTCCCCATGTCTGGAGTCCAAGTGAGGAAGGGACAAGTTGACCAGCCTGGGGGCTAGCGATGCCCTGGTGGCCCTTTCCTGCCCAAGGCCTGGCTCATGGCCTGCTGCTTGGGTCGTATGCCCATACATTTCCCACCTTCCCTGGTGTTCAGGTGAGCTCTACCCTGACAGCCTGGCCCCCACAGGTGCTCAGATGAGGTAACCCACCAGCTCCGGTCTACAGCTACCCACAAGGTGGGGCGGGATGGGATTGTGGCCACGAGGCTCTGCACCCACCAGGATGATGTGGCCCTCACCAATGAGAGGCGGCTGCAGGAGCTGCCAGGTGAGCAGGGAGTTAGGGTTGGGCAGGGCCAACAGGCAGGTGTGGCCCCTGCAGCCCCACCCGTGGGGTCATTTGGATATCCGTGCCCCCAGGCTCAGTGGCCGTAAAGGCCCTTGTATATGCAGATGTAATTGTGCTTGCAGTGAGTTGGCCAAGTCACTCGGCCAGTAAGTGCTGCAACTGAGACTTGAACCCAGGCCTCTGACTACAAGGCCCCAGCTAGGCCTGAGCTGCCCCCACAGAGCCCTTTCCTGGCCACCAGACCCCTTTCCTCCCCGACACCGCCATCTAACAAGTGTTTTTGGAAACTGAGTCACAAGTCAGTGATTTATCATCTGTTTTCCCAGGCAAGGTGCACAGCTTTGAGGCTATGGACAGTGACCCGGAGCAGGCCCAGGCCCTGGATGCCCAGTGTCCTGCTAGTCGGCTCCTTCAGCTAAAGCTGGGGGCCCAGGTAAGTGGGAAGCCGAGCCTAGTCCCTGGGAACTTGGGCTGTCCTGCGTGGGCCTCCCTGCTCCTTGCCCTCTGCCCAGGCAGCTCCAAAACCAGTGAGCCCAATCGTGAGGCGGGGTGACAGACGGGCCCAGGCCAGACCTCCCTCCCTCCTATTCCCACCACCTTCCTGTCTTCAGCTTTCACTGCCCTCCTCCCCCTGCCCCCTGGAGCCCCAGGCAGTATTGCTTTGGGCAAGTCCCTTTCCTCTGCTGAAGCTCAGTTTTGTCATCTGTAAAATGGGGAGCAAATACCTACCCTACATGGCCGTCTTCTACAGATGTTACATTCCTGCTTCCTCCTGTCACGTTGGGGGTGGGCAGAACTGGAGGACTTTCCTCAGGTCCCAGAGGGCACCCAGTAGGATAAAAGCAGGTGCAATGTGGGTGGGGGAGAGGATGGTGGGACCCTGGGGGCTATCCCTCAAGATTTGTGGCCACATACATACCCCACAACAGACCTTATAGTTTTCAAAGACTGTGATGTCTATTACCTCGTTGATCCTTCCTACCTCCTTCTAAGGCATGCTGAGCACATGTTATCCTCCTTTGACACACGGGCAAACTGAGACCCAGGAAAGTAAGGAGCTTCCCCAGGGGTCACAGCCAGCCAGTGGCAGCACTAGGACAGGGACTTGGTGGCCCCCAATGACAGCCCCATGCCCCCAGCCTCTGAGAATAGTAACTCCTGGAGGTGAGGTCAGGCTGCTCTCTAGTCCTCCATTTCTTTTTCCCTTTGCAGGTGATGCTGGTGAAGAACCTGGCGGTGTCTCGGGGCCTGGTGAATGGGGCCCGAGGGGTGGTCGTTGGGTTTGAGACCGAGGGGAGAGGTGAGTGACGGGGGGAGGTGGCAGCCCTCTTTCCTGGCTTTGCAGCAGTTGGGAGGAAAAGACCGTTGCCCCCCACCTCTGAGCTCCAAAGCAGAGCTGAAAGGCTAGACTTCTCCACGCCTCCCCCAGGGCTGCCCCAGGTGAGATTCCTGTGTGGAATCACTGAGGTCATCCGGGCTGACCGCTGGACGGTGCAGGCCACTGGGGGCCAGCTCCTCAGCCGGCAGCAGCTACCCCTCCAGCTGGCCTGGGCGATATCCATCCACAAGAGTCAGGTGAGCATCCAGTGCGGGGAATGGGGACAGGGCAGGGCAGAGGGTGGACAGGATAGGCCTGCGACGTGTTGAGGGGGGTTCTCGAAGGCTTTATGGGGCTGAGCTGGCCCTGGATGGAAAATTCCAGACCAGGAGGAGGATAAACCTTCTTTTAATGTATTTCCCACCTTGCCCCCTTCTCTGCCGTTCCCAGACATATACACTTCCCCACTGCCATCCCCGCCCCACTGTTTTATGGGTCCCTACCAAAAAACTCCATTGCTGTTGTGTTGATTCCGACTCATAGGACAGAGTAGAACTACCTCATGGAGTTTCCAAAGAGCGCCTGGTGGATTTGAACTGCCAGCCTTTTTGATTAGCAGATGTAGCTCTTAACCACTATGCCACCAGGGTTTCCAACTCCGAAAACAAAACCCATTGATTCTGACTCATAGCAACCCTATAGGACAGAGTAGAACTGCCCCATAGGATTTCCAAGGAACAGCTGGTAGATTTGAACCACTAACCTTTTGGTTAGTAGCTGTAGCTCTTAACCACTGTGCCACCAGGGCTCTTTACTAGATATGTTCAATTTAATCCTTATTATTGTATGAGATTTAGATATAATTATTCCCATTTTACAAAGGAGGGAACAGAGGCTCAGACAGGTTAAGTAACTTATCCAAGGTCCCCACAGCTAGTGAGTGGCAGAGCCAGGATTCTGCTCTAAGCCTTGCTGATCCAGAGCCTGAGCTCTTTCCTTTCATCTCTATACCTCAACTCTTATCCTAGATCTGTAGGTACCCCCTGCTACCCAGACACCCATCTGCTGTCAACCCACCCCTCTGTCTGGAGCATCTCTGGACTGGGTGAAGAGACCCAGGGGCTGCAGCTGGGCTGAAGATGGTGTCAGGGGTGGGGTCAGACTCTTGGGCACAAGGGGCTTCAGGCTGAGGTGGCTCCATCTCTGTCCCTCCATCCCCCAGGGCATGTCCCTGGATTGCGTGGAGATCTCTCTGGGCCGGGTGTTTGCCAGTGGCCAGGCGTACGTGGCCCTCTCCCGGGCCCGTAGCCTACAGGGCCTGCGTGTGCTGGACTTTGACCCCATGGTGGTATGCTGCGACCCCCGTGTGCTGCGCTTCTATGCTGCCCTGCGGCGGGACAGGGGGCTCAGTCTGGTAATAGGGAGTCACTCAGTGGTGGGCCATGTGGCTGTGGGTGGGCTAGGAGCTGGGACAGAGGGAGGCCCGGTGGGGCCTGGAGGTGGGGGACAACAGAGCTCTCTGCTGGCTCTGAGGGGGACAGGGCAAAGGGAGGGAGATGCAGGCCCCAGGCTGGGGCCCTGGGGAGCAGCTCCAGCCTGTGACTGGCTTCTCTGACTCTGATCCAGGAATCCCCAAATGACGACGAGGCAGCCTCAGACCAGAATGTGGACCCGAACTTCTGAGTGCAGCCCCAAAGAGAAGAAAAAGAGTCTCCCCATCCTCCTGCTCCCTGGTGGGGCAAGGCCTAGGGAGCAACGGGAGGAGGGTGGCCAGTGTCCCTCTCCCCTTTCTTTAGGGGCTCTCAGTCCCATGGCAGGGTTGAAGGCAGAGTGCTTCCCTCCACTTGCCAGCGGCCTGTTCCTCCTCTTTGCCCTGGGTGATCTGCTTCCAGGGCCAGGAGTATGTGCCAGCTGGGAATGGCCTGTGGTGGCACCTGGTGTCCGAGGACAAAGCTATCAGCGAGGGCTGGCCCTAGAGCCACAGGGTTCTGAACGCTGCTCCCTTTGGCCTGCCAATGGGAGAGGCAGCCCAGACGGGCACTGGGAGCATTAACAGGCCTCTCTCTGCAGGGACCTGGGGAGGAGTCAGGCCGGGGACAGGCCCAGACCAGAGAATGTCTCCCCAGCTAGGTCCCGCCCAGCATAGCTCAGCCAAGCACCTCCTGGGCCTAACCTAAGAACATACACTACAAATGTGTGCCTGTATTTTAAGCTGCTTTTTGGGGGAGAGAGAGAATATTTGGGGGCATTGAAATGGATGCTTTCAGATTGTATTTATTTAGGACAAATAAACTTGTGAACTGTGTAAGAACTGTGAATCTTCTGCTCTCTTTAAAGGGCAGCTGTGCCTGGGGCCTAGAACACCCATTGCAGGAAGGCCTGCTCCTGCTTGCTGTCTCTTGGCCTCTCTCTCACCTGCGCACACACACACAAAGTGGTCTGTTTACGCCATGCTGGCTGAGATGACGGCATCCTTACGTGAGGCTTTGTGGGTACCACTGGTTGTTTGGGAAGCTGGGTGATCTGAGGTTGGTGACTAACAGTGAAGTAACAAGGTGGATTTGAACTGCCAATAGTCAGACGAGGGCACGCTAGAGAATTCACATGATGGGAGGCAGCCAACACACAGCGTTGGAAGAATGCTGGTGGCCTCGGTTGGAACTTTCTCAGTTTGGGCCTTGCCGAAGCTCCAGCTTGGAGGTTCTGATGGGGAAGCAATCATCCACAAACTTCACTTTATCAAAAAACCTGATGGCTGGGGAGGATGTAGAGAAATTGGAACCCTCGTCCATTGCTGATGGGAATGTAAGATGGTGCGGCTGCTGTGGAAAAGTTTGGCAAGTTCCTCAAAAAGTTAAACATAGATTACCATATGACCCAGCAATTCCGCTCCTAGGTATATACCCCCAAAAATTAAAAGCAGGAATGCAAGCAGATACTTGTACACCCGTGTTCATTACAGCATTATTCACAATAGCCAAAAGGTGGAAACAACCCGAATATTCACCAACAGATGGATAGCTAAATAAAAGGTGGTACATCACTCCTAGAGGTCACCTTTCAGCCAAATAATAGATTGGCTTATAAAATAAACTATATCACCCATGAGTAATGTGCTCCCTTAAACAATCGACTGTATGAGACCCAATGGTCAACATTTACCCAAAAGCAAAGATGAGAAGGCAAGGAGGGGCAGGGAAGCTAGGTCAATGGAAACGGAACAAACGAATGGAAATGACGAGAATGCTGACACACTGGGAAGATTGTACCCAGTGTCACAATTTGCATAAAAATAACAACTTGTATAAAAATTGTTAAATGGGAACCTAATTTGCTTTGTAAACTTTCACATAAAACCTATTTTTTTAAAAATGTGGTACATACATACATTGGACTACTACTTGGCCGTAAAGAGAAGTAAAGGTCTGGTACACGCTGCAACATGGATGAACCCTAAACACATACTGAGTGAAACAAGTCGCAAAAGGGCAAATAATGATCCCACTCACGTGGAATATCTACAATAGACAAGTGTACAGAGATAAAAGTTTATTAGTGGTTGCCAGGGGCAGGCGGGAGGGAGGGGGAAAGGAAGATATAAGCTTAGGGGACACTAAGGGTGATGAGAAGGAGCCCTGGTGGCACAGTGGTTAAAGCGCTCCTCTCGGCTGCTGACAGAAAGGTTGGTGGTTCGAATCCCCAGCCGCTCCACGGGAGAAAGATGTGGCAGTCTGCTTCTGAATGGAAAGGTATCTGTGCTGGGTGGTAAATACGGGTCACAGCGGAAGTATGCACTGGAGGCACTGGCGAAAACCTAGGCTCCGGGAATCGCCGGAATACTTTTTTCACTTTGCCTTCCCCTGAACACACAGTTTGGGGACCATCCATTTCAGCACAGTAGCACTGTCTCATCCTTTCTAATGGCTCTGCAGCCTTGGTTGGAAAAAGCAGAAACAGATCCAGCATAACAAAGCAGGAAAGGAAGGAAACGGAAGGCTATAGCTTGCAGAATTGATATGAAGACCCGTCATCCCCAAGAGCCAGGCCGTTGGGGATGTTATTTCTTCTGCATCCTCTCCTGGGACTCTCCTCTCTCTGACACCACCCCGAACCCCAAGACACTCCCGAGGCACCTCCATTGGCCCAGCCGGCCCTTTCACCTCACCCAGGGACCGATTTCAGCTTTCCTCGGTCTCATAGGGGAACCGAAGGAGCTGCCCCACTTAAAAGTCTTCCTCATGAGCCTACCTGGGCCCCTGAGAGTCCTGTCCTCAGTGACCCCTCCTCATTGTGAAGGTGCTTTCCAGAGGGTCCTGCAGGAAGGCAGATGTGTTCCCCCTGCAGGGGTGGGAGGGAGCTCCAGACATCCCTGGCCCTCACCTGCACATCAGGCCAGATTGGGGTACGGGGTTATCTTGTTAGGGAGGTGTGCAAGAAACCTCATGGTTCTTTACTTTCTTGACATCTAATTTAATCTGACTTTGAGCCTGTACCTGGGGGTGTAAGGAAGCCCCACTTTAGTCAGAACTGGAGCTCCGTGTCTGCAGCGTCATCCAGGCACCCAGGGGCAGGCCTCTCCCCTCCAGGGCCTCCTGGTGACTGCTGCCGTTCGCACTGACCAGCGGTGGGCTGGGGTGGGGGCCCTCTGAGGGCCCTAGCCTCTCCAGGGGTCTCACCCTCTGAGACCCTACCACCTCCCTGTGCTGTTCCCAGGGTCCCTCCGACCACTTGCTTCTCCCCGGTCTTGGGGACCCTCCTTCTCTCTGCTTCTGCTTCCCTCCAGCATAATCCCCTCAAAGAACTGGATCCGGGAAACAAAAACCAGGAGGCATGTCCTCAGGTAGCTTCTGGGTTTGAAGCAAAGAAGCGCAAAGCCCTGGTGACCCACTTAGAATATGGGGGCAGATGCGGAGCGATAAGTACAGGCAGAACAAAGGAGAAAATCTCTCAGGTATCCTCCTGTCATGCTGGGATAAAGGGGTACCCACCTACCCTGTGTGTTCATTCATTCATTCCACGATATTGATCGAGTGCCTCTCACATGCCAGGTGCTGGGCGAAACACTGGGGATCCCACAGTAAACCCGACCGACATGGCCCTCCCTGGGGAGCTTAGAGTGAGCTGGAGGGGGACATTATAAACAAGCAAACAAATAAATAACAAGATCACTTTGTACTTTGACAAGTGCAAAATAATCAGAAGAAATAAGAGAGCACCTGAGTGGGTGCGGGGAGCTCGCTTATAGGATGGTCAGAAAAAGTGGTTCTGATGAGAGGCTATTTGGGCCAGGACTGGAAGGATGCGCCAGAGAAGATGCAAACATGGCAGAGAGAGCTACCACCCCTTCACCCCTCCCTAACTTTGCTCACGTCCTTTCTAGCCTGAAATGCCCGATTCATTCCTAAAGATTCGGCTCAGACATCTCCAGCGCTTTCCCAGGGTCTAGTCCTGGTCCCTTCTAGCCAGAGCGGTGGGTTCCTGCCTGGAGCCCCACGCACTGTGTTGTCCTCGGCTGTGGGGCTGTCTCCACCAGCAAGCTCCTCAGAACAAGATTGAGCCCCCCTGCCCCCTGCAGCCCTGGCACCGGCCCAGCGTGTGGAATAGGGCAGGCAGGAAGGGAAGGAATAAAGGAATGAAGGAATGCAGAGAGTCTGCCTGTAGGGCCCACAGGGACCTCCCTGGGAGTGCGGCTCTAATGGGGGTTGTCGTGCTGCTGCTCCCGGGACCCCTTAACTTGTCTTTCCTCCCTCCAGTTGCTGTTGAGTCGATTCCAACTCAACGCAACCCCATGTGTGTCAGAGTAGAACTTCTCCATAGGGTTTTCAATGGCTGATTTTTCGGAAGTAGATGGCCAGGGCTTTCTTCCAAGGCACCTCTGAGTGGACTTGAACCTCCAACCCTTCAGTTAGCAGCTGAGCATGTTAACCGTTTGCACCACTCAGGGACTCCATTTCCTCCCTAGTAGCAGGGTTTTCCCACTCTCCCCTTCACTCTCCACCGGGGAGGCAGGACACGCTGAGGAAAGGCATTCAGGAGAAGGCAGGGAGGCGTGAAGCAGGACTCTGTCTACACTCGGGGTCCGCTGGAGGCTTTGAAACAAGGTTGTGGGAAATGGGAGAGGCAGGCCTATCCCTGAGGGGGCTGGGCCCGTGGGAGGGGGCTTGGCACGGGGTGAGCCCGCTAGGAGGCAGGCAGGGGGCTGGGCAAGGAGCGGGTGAGGACATCACTCCGAGAAGGATAATCCCACGACCTGATTTGCTACAGCTCCTTCCACTCTCAAAAGCACTCTCCTGGGGGGCGAGAGGGTCTCCTGTGAGTCCCACTTTGCACGGCGCCGCCCCGTTTGTCTCGCTTGCCTCTGCCCCCTCCTCAGCTCCAGCCATGACTGCATCCAAGGGGAATGAGCAATTTAGGAGTCTGTCTCCCCCCTCCCCCCAGAATGAGGCGGATCCCCTGGTAGAAAGAGACCTGGCTCAGACGTCTTTATGTCCCCAAGGCCCTTGTGGTTTTAGAAAGCAAAACTTCATAAAATGTCTGCCAAGTGAAAGGCCATTTGTGACAGGGCCTCTGACAGGTCTCCCATTTTACAGAGAGAGCTAGTCCAGGGCGGAGCTGGGACCCTGTGCCCTCTGCCTGGATGGTCTTCACTGAGCTGTCCAAAGAGAACAGGATGTGAGGGTACCTCGAGGGCTGATGCTGGGACTGGTGGAGGGCCACCTACACTCCTTAGTGGGGTGTCCAGGGCAGGACTTGGCTAGATCGGGCCCCATCCTTCCTGAGGCCCTGCCATATTTTGCATACCCCCAG